TTTTTTTTTTTTTTTTTTTAACTTTTGAAATCTCACTTAATTTTCTGAAATCTCACCCTGTTTTTGAGAAAGGGTGAGAAATTCTCACCCATTTTTTTTTCTGAGATGAAAACACTGGTTGAGGAAACAGAAAGTGATTGTTATACAGACTATTTTGAAAAATGATGAGAGTGGAAATACTAATTTAAATAAAACTGAATATTCTGTGTGTTTTTCTCGAAATTCATAATCAGGACTAATATCTGAGAAACAGAAGGAAATTTTGAAACTGTTTTTCTACCTCGCAAACAAAATATAAAAAAGCTTAAATTTGCATTAATAAGCTATTAAACATATTTTTATGTAAATAATTGTGTAGGTAAAATGTATTCTGAGCTGATACTTTTTTTTAATTATTTTCTCCTGATATCCTTTTATTATGAGAAAAGCTGATGAAGAGATGATAATTTGAAGCTGTTAGATAATATTCAAAATCAAATTTTTGACAAAGTTCAATTCTTACTGCAAATTGCCCTGCATATGGAAAATAACAATAGCACAATCAGAAACATTTTTTTTTATCTAATTGAATAGTGTAAAATGTTTCAGAAAAGTATTTTGCCAACATTTCATTCCATAAAACATAAGTTGGGACCTTGTAAACACACTGTATTAGAGTTAGTTTCATATTGATTGAATGTCCCAAGATCAGTGATCGTAGCAATAAACATTAGTCTCTAAACAGGATAACAACTAAAAAAAAGAAGAAGAAAGAACTTGTATATGAACTACCTAACACTTATTGGCTGTGAGAATTTATGTAACTAAATCTAAAATTTTTGAACATAAAGTAAAATGGAAACAATCAGTTCAAAGCTTTCTTTCAATGAAATGATTATAAATTACAGCTATGTTAGTCTTATACCTATTTATCTTAAAATATTCTCTTAATTTTTTTTCACGGCAAATTTTTACATTTTAGTTACGTTAACATTTCTTTAGTTAGTTTATTAGCTAAGCAGTATGAAAGATTTGTTTATATAAGCTAAGAAAGATGCAAATTTATGTAAGTTAAGTTACAAAGTTTTATATAAGTTAAGAAGATTTATTTTAATTTTATTCTAGGATGCTCCTGATTTAAGTGATCTTGTGTTGTGGGCAAATATCTATCCTTTGTACAAAGCATCTCTGTTACCTGATGGTATAGACTTCTTTATATATAGACTTAAATAATTCCTTTTCAGTTTTTACATTGAAATATTAGCATTGTTTTTATTCCTTCCTTCCTCAATGGCACGACAGCCCCGGGTGGGCCCTGGCCTTCTCAATCAACTTCCTCCAGGCCTGCCTCCGCCTGGCAGTTGTCTTCCATTTTGAGACTTGCATGTTTTTATTAGCATGTAGGAATACAGGAAAGTTTTTAATTTATTACAAATACTTAAAAGACAGACAGTAACACTGTTAGTTTCCCTCTCTAATATCTCTAAATCAGGGTTGGGGTTTTGGACGTCCTAAACTAGTTTTGGACAGGAAAATTGGGTTTTACTGTCCTAAACTGACTAAAACTGTCCTAAACTGTCTTAAAGTGTCCAAAACCTTGAATATTGGTAAAAGGTAAAAATTTTATATGTGTAACCATTGCACACATAATAATTATATTAATAAATATTTGATACTTTTTATACAATTTGCTTAAACTTATTAAAGGAAAATAATATAATAGGAAAAGATTTATAGCTTTTGAAGCTTCACAATTCATTGAACAGCAAAAGTGAATTTTTTATCCTTTAAATATGAATAAATATGCTCTTAATACTGATAAATTATGTTTTTGCATAAGGATAAATGATGCAATATTAAAAAATATTAATAAACTCTTCTAATAAACCAAAATTTATTTTCATTTTGTTTCAAAATTAACAATAACATTCAGAAATCTGTCCTAAACCTCGCCAACTATGCTCTAAATGTTACAGGTTGAAAAAGTAAAGTGCAAACTGAGAGGTGGGGTGTATAACATAAGGAAATAAATATACACTTCTCCCACGGGTCAGGGAGAACAGGAAAAAACTTAGAATTGTCAGGAAATTTTATTTTACTCTGAAAAGCAGGGAAAGTTGCATTTTTTAAAAAAAAGAAAAAAAAAAGACTTAAAAAACTCCTAAACTTCAGTATTCCAACTAAGAGTTCAATAAGTACTGACAGAAGAGAGAAATAACTAGAAATAAAATTACTGAATTATGTTAGTATCAAAATATTTAATTTAAATTATATCTTTTAATATAATGATTAATTTAATAAATTTTATTATAGTAGTATTTTATAAATAATGTATTTTATTGATACATATAATTTTAATGTAAAGTGTTTTACATCTACATGCGTCTTAACATTTTACATACATCTTAATACATATACATTTTTACATATTTATGCTCATCTTTTACTGAATGTTTTAATCTATATAATGAAAATTAATCCCTATTTGTTATATGCATAAATGTATTGTATGAATGTATTAAATTTTTGAAAAGAAGTTTTGATGTACGAACAATTATTTGGAAACATAAGACTAATTATTTTTTTTAAAAATTTATTTCAGTTTCAAATCTTGCAAATTTGCAAAAATGGCTAAATACTTTGAAGGATTTAGGATCACTAAATACAGCATTTACTCATATTGGTGGAAAAGAGAAATCTGATTTAAAGGTGAGTTTTATTTTTTAAACTTTTTAAGATTTTAAATTTCTCTTACTTAGTTTTTCCTTTTTATTAATTGATGCATGTATAATATATACAGGGGCTACAAATCTTGATCATTGTGGTGCTAAAGTATCATTGCTAGCACCAAATATTGCTGTAAAATTTAATGTTTAGAGAAAGGGCAGTTGCACTGTTTTCTATTCTGTAATATGCTGGCTTTTAAAAATTGGGCGTGGCTGCTGGAAATTTTAGCTTTTGCAGACCTCTGTATATATATACAGTAAAACCTCGCTACAACAGTATTTTGGGGACCTCATAAATGTATTGTTGTAGAGGGATATATTGTTATATCGAGGGCCTGCATACTTTAGGGACACAATAAGATTTTTTTTTCTTAACTTTAATGTTATATATGAGTTAAGTATAAATGTATTTATATATTATATAAAAAATTATTCGCAGAATGTTAATTATGGTTAAATATTAAAAACAATTTAAATTCAGAAAATAAAATCGTACGCATACCTGAAAACCATTTTTATTGAAAATAATCCAATATTATTTTTTGTTTATTCTTTTTTTGATCGTTAAGTCAACCCACAAAGTATGCATTGAGTTCAAAGCATGAGAATGATTTTCATTTGTGAATGGTGTCCCACCCTCTAGGGAAAAAATTCTCTTTCAAGTATTAATGTGATGTGTGTGGTCATTTGTGACTCATGATCAGCTTTTAACATGAAGGAAATGAAATCAGATAGGAATGTCACATCTGTGACTTCTTAAGGGATAAGGGAGGCAATTCTAAGAAAGGAAGTTCTTGTGGTGGTCAGCAGGGAGTCTTCTCTTGTCAGTAAAGATGGGAAAAAATGGCAAAAGATGATAAAATAACTTGGAAACCAATAATAAATGGAGAAAATAAGATTGAAAGTTGGAGAAAAAAATTGTTTTACAAGGGTTTATTGCTTAAGAGAATATCGTAATATTGAGAGAAGGATAGCATTAATTCATATGCAAGTTTGTAGGGACCACAAAACACTATCATAATAAAGGGGGTTATTGTTGTATCAGATGCTAGAGTTCACTGTATATGACTACATATACAAACTTAAACTTTGTATATACTATTAGTTGATGATAAATTGCTTATTTTCAAATTTACTTTCTTTATTTGTCTGTTACTTATGTTAACTCATTCAAAACATTTTTTGAAATACTAATGCTGATATTATTTTTACAGGAAATTTTTTGTTTTTGGTAATTTATTTTATTACTTTTTTATTCAATGAAACATTTTTGTTTATTTTGAACAAAATGTAAGTTTTGATATAAACTTAGTTTAATTAATCATTTTGCAAAAACATCTAGTTTTTTTATATATCTTTATTTAATGATTTATTTCGTTTTACACTTTTAATATTAATTTGTTTGACTGTCGATAAAATTTCTGTATTAAGTTACTGAAATTTGTGTGTTGTTATATTTTAGAAAAATCTGCTGTGCGAAGTTTCGTTTACTGGTGATTACTTTTTTATGCCAATCCATGTTGCAGACTTTGTTCCTTCAGTTGAAACTGATGATAGCAATGCAGAAGTGAGCATATATTAATTTTGACCAAATTATTAAAAGCGATAAATGAATTAATTTCCTTTATGTTTACAATAGTAGCATTTTTATGTTTGTTATCGAAGAAAATAGTATTGTATTCAATGTATAGAAGTGTTTTTATTTAGTTTATTTGTCTATCTGCAGAAACAGCTAACTGCAGTTGCAGTTTTCTCAGTTGCAATGTGAACATATTCTACTTTCAATGTGCACAAATTTAAGAGACATCTTTCCTCGTCATCTTGGATTTTAAATTAAATTTTGTTCCTTTTTTGTTGTCTTTTTTTGGTTCTTTACAAATTTTAATGATACATTATTAATGTATATTTTTTAATTCGTCTTGTTAGATTTGGATGTATAATGCTAGATAACTTTTAGACTTTCTATGTTTTTTTCTCAAATGTGTAAAGCATTAATATCATGCTCCTACTAATTTTTGATTGATAATTTAATACTGTACATTTTTTCCTATTTTTCCATTTTTTTAAAAATTTACTTTTAATACTGTTCAAACTGATTTGCCTAAACAAAACTTTTTATCAAATATCTGAAAGCTGACAAATTTATATCTTTCCAAAAGTGCTCAGTGTAGAATAAGTTTCTAGAAAAAAAATTAATCGAAAATCAAAGTTACTACATTATATACCTCCCTTTATGGTATCTTGTCTTTTTAATGTTTCAAAATGTACAACACAGTAAAGTTACTGTCCGACAAAAATTGTTTATGAAAATTAAATAACGATGATCAAAAGTATTTTTAAAATCTATTCTATGTTTCCATTCTTTTGATAGTTGAGTTCAGTCAGGAGGGAAGGCCTTTAAATATTTCAAGTGTTTATGGGAAAATTCTAGATGAACTATTTTGTTGCACCATTTTTTTTTTAATCTAATTTTTACCCATGTCTTCTCAAACATAAGCAGGTTTTGTCTGTGTTAACTAAATTCAACTCTGAGAAAATTGTAATAGAGATGAGAAAAGTTAATTTCGCAATTTACAAGTAACAAAATTTAACTATAGATTTTTCAATAGTGTTAAATTTTTTTTCCATGTTTAATTTCTAATCTTTTTTTTTTAAATTAATGTGTTTTTAAATTGAATATTATTTATTTATTTTTTTGCAATTTTCTTATGTTGTATTTATAATTTTTAATTCTTTTATTGCATACTCTTGGCCTTCTCCGTCCGATTCAGTTTGATCTTTAATTACATTCTCTCTACCTTGAAGAATTTCAATTTCTTAATCTCAAACAATAGGTTAAAAATACTAATAAAGGCCACACAAAACTATTAATAACTCCAACTTTCATAACTCTAAAGCATTCCTATTAACTGCTTCTCTTACCATTTATTTTTAAAAAATGCAAAAAATCAACATATTTTTTTTAATTTCATTAATAAATACAGGGAACTAAAACAAAACATAATACATAAGTTCTAAGTTGAAATTTTAATTTTTTCATGTGTTAAAAACATTTAATTTATCATCAGTTTACTGTCGCGAGTTATTTTGGACAAATGAAAAAAGTTAAATGTTAGTCTTTGTATGATAGTTTTTGAAACAATGGACAACACAAAGTGATACATCAGTGAACCAAACATCAGTGAAGTGATACATAATTTTTCGTTACTTATTTTTTTCTTTCTATGTAAATTCAGTAACCATCGTATATACAATGATCGTATATTGTGTGTGCAATCTCCTAATCCAACAGTAAAACTCCCAAACAAACTTCCAATCACAGTAGATATTTTTTTTTTTTTTACTTTCAGCCGAGTAAAAACGTGATGAAACAAAACGTACTGGCAAATTCTGCTACGTCCAAGTTTTCTCGGGATAATAAATATTTGCAATATATTTTAAGAGTTGAGTTATAAGCCAAAACACAATTTGTTCAATCTAGGTAGGCATGTTTATAATCTTCCTATCACCATTTGATAGCCAAGCATGAACCTGATAGTAGATAAATTACAAAACTTTTAATTTAAAAGCAATATATACAGAGATGTTCAAATCAATTTTTGAAAAAATTACCTATTAAATTGTCCAAGTTTAATTTTAGTAGACGTATTGGGAAATATAATCGTTACAATTTTTTATAAATAGTTTTGGTTTAACACTCTTCTGAAAGTGTAATATTTTGTGGTTTTCATGACTTAGTTATAATTTTAGTTTCATAATTAAACTTTATTAAGTAATTTAATTTTAGCAGTCTAAAGAGCCTGAGATTACAGCTGAAGAAGTAATTCGCAGTTATAGTTGTTGGGTAAAAGGTAAAGCTTCTATTCCACAGCCGAAAGAAATTAAAGTGCCCGTGTAAGTATTGTTTTTCATTGTTTTATTAATTTAAAATTAATGTATTAATTGAAAGAATAAATATATTAAATAAATGAATAAATATATTAAATTTAATAAATATATTAATTAAATGAATAAATATATTAATTAAATGAATAAATAATATTAATTATACTTTTAAGTGCTTGTTGAGAGCATTTTAAATGATACATAGACTATTTAAATTCCCACTTAGATGCCATCTGGTGTTGAATTTATTTCGAACTCAAAAATTATTAAAAGCTTTTAAAAGTCCATTTTCAAAATTTTTTTAATAATTCTTTATTTTATTAATGTATAATATTTAATAGCCCTTCATTTCAGGTTTGCACAAAACAAGGAACAGTCAAAGAATATTATAGAAATACCAAAAAAAAAAGGGGGGGGGGAAGCCTTAATTTGGGTTTAAAGTATCTATAAATCCAATATATTTTCGAGAAAAAAAAAATTGCCGCAAATTTGTTTGATATCAATAAACAACAACAAAAAAGTTTTTTTTGACACATTAATGTATTTATATTAATTACATTTCTAAAATCATTAAAAGGTTTTATTACTTAGCAAAGATATTTTTAATCAAAAAATTTGATTTCAGACTTATTGAAAAATATCTATCAAAATCAAAAATATGTTACTAGATCAACAGCATAAATTAATATTTATATTACTTGTTCTTGAACTAAGTTCTTTATTTATATTTTCCTCATTTGCTGTTTACAATTCTAGTTTTTAGTTATTTGCTGTTAACTTAAAAACTATTTATAATATGAAATAACCTAACTTAAGGTGTCTAACCTAACCTAAGGTAATTTAAGATAAAATAACCTAACCTAAACTTTCTCAGAATTCACAAACAAAGTTATATGTTTACAAATAACACTTCTGTCTCTACAAGGGACTGAACTACTCAGTTTGGAATGGGCATTAAAATGATGTGTTTGTGGTAAAGCAAATGGACTATGTTATTATAATATGAATATAATATATTTATAATATGAAATAACCTAACTTAAGATCTCTAACGTAACCTAAGGTAATCTAAAATGAAATCATCTAAACCTTTCTCAGAATTCACAAGCAAAGTTATATATTTACAAATAACATTTTTGTCTCTACCAGGGACTGAACTGCTCAGTTTGGAATGGACATTAAAATGACGTGTTTGTGGTAAAGCAATGGGACGAAATAATAAAAAATTGTCTCTGTTGTAGGAATTATAGCTCAATGTTGTATCAGTTGAAGAACATTGTAAGGTTACTTAATAAAATTTTTTTTTTCAGTTTGCCGAAAAAGGGAGAAAGAAATATCCTGGTTACTAGTGCATTACCATATGTGAATAATATTCCTCATTTGGGAAATATAATTGGTTCTGTTCTTAGTGCAGATGTTTTTGCAAGGTAATAAATGTTTTTTTCCTTAACATTGCATTTAACAAAAAAATAAAAACTGAATACTATACTAAGATGTTAGTTTTACACAATCTGCAAAAGTTCAAGTTTTTAGGGAGCCATTTTTTTGAACACATGTTCCAAAAACTATTGTGTTTATTTTATGTATTGAATTTTCATTTTATATTTTAAAACATTGTTATAAAATAATTCAAGTTTCTTATTAATGTGCATTATAAGTCATTTAAAAAAATATTACATAGATAAATTTATTTTCACTTTTCATTATACATCTTTACTTTATTTTTATAACATATTTTAAAATTGAATTAACATAATTGACATAATTACTATTATGACATATTATAATTGACATTATTATTACTGTGACATAATATTGTATTAGTTAACATAATTATTATGGCATAATTGTTTCTTTTGCTATCACTAAAAGTTGTAATTTTTACAATCTAATCATTGTAATTTAGTGTCTATTAATTGTCCAGTGGGAGAAAAAAAGGGGGGGGGATTTTCCCCCACATTTCTTTGTTTTTCTGACGTAAATCTTAATTGGAGAAATCACCATGATTATGTATGTAGGGTTATTAGCAATATGCTTAATCATGCTGCAGTTAAAATAATTTTAGGAGATAAATGAATTAGCTTATGCAAATGCTTTCTAAAGAATATCTGATGGCATTAGAAATAAAGGCTTTAGTTTAGTTAATTAAATTAATTTTGTTTGATCAGAATAACATAATGTTCTCACTTTTATGTTTCAATATCAAGAAATTTAGTTTATAGCATAACAATATTTGAATCTTTGGTAAATGGTATTGGAAATTAGGCAATGAAAAATTTTCTTTTCTATAGAGGTATATTAATAATAATAATATAATTTAATTTTTTATTGTAATTTTTTATAATTTATCATTAATGCAATAGTTGGTAGTTCTTTTTTTTCCTTTTTTTATGTTTTTTATTTCATTTATGTTTTATTATTACTGATATATTTTTTTTGTATTATATCTTCAGTATTTATTCCTTTTATAGTATTATTAAATTATTATTATATTGAATTATTTTAGGTTTGGCATATCTACCAACTTTTTACAAAAGATTTTTAAAGTAGTCCCAAATTTATACATTGCTATAAATTTGATTCTGCACTCAAAAATTTTATTTACAATTGTTATTAAGAACCCAATTGTATATAAGAACCCAAAAAATTATACTCTAGAGCCGTTTAAGGTATTCTTCTGGTTTTGGCAATTTTTTTTAAAAATAAAGTTTCAAAATTTATAAAATATTTCTCAAAATAAGAAGGGCAAATTTGAGCTCAAAAACTACACATTTTTCATGTCATGCTAACAGCTCTACAAGAAATTGCAAGACATAAATTTAAAAATATTTCTTTTTCTAGATTAATAATGCGATTACCTGTGTTTTGAACTAAAATCTTAAAAAATTTCTAAAAAACAATAAAGTGGAACTAAATATATCGTTTAATATTGAATTTTTAAAGAAAACTTCTAAATATTCTTACTTAAAGCTTGATAAAAAAATTAATTCACACTGATACCTTAGTATACAGTTCAAAACATTGCTAACATTATACAAAGTTTACACACAAAATTTCAATGAATTCTATGAATAAACTTCTTTTGTAATGTGTGTTAGTGTAAAGAATTTTTCTTGAAATCTGCGATCAAAATCAATGCATTTATAATGCAAAAAAATTCTGAAATGAATATTGAATATGAAGTAAGTGTTTAATTTGAATGATTATTTTCTTTCAGTTTTTAACTCTAAATATTGCAAAATTATTGTAACAAAAAGCTGATTACTGATTGCTTTTGTCTTATTTTAGATACTGTAGATCTAGAGGCTATAATACTCTATATATTTGCGGAACAGATGAATATGGAACTGCCACTGAAACTAAGGCTATTGCCTCCAAAATGACACCAAGAGAAATTTGTGACAAATACAACAAACTACATTCCGACATTTACAAATGGTTTAATATTGCCTTTGACCATTTTGGAAGAACCACTACAGAGAAACAGACTGAGTATGTTCTAAAATTTTTAACATTTGTTTTTAGATACATTATTTCTAAGTTTTAAAACAATTGTTTATCTCTGTCTTTATTTAGAATCGCCCAGGACATTTTTCATAAATTGTATGCTGAAAATTTGATCCTCACTGATAGTGTTGAACAACTTTTCTGTGAGTCATGCCAGAGGTAATATAAATTTTAGTGTTTTCCATAGCTATATACAGTATACTTTGGATATTTAAAAGTTGAGTTGATTTTGAGGTTTCAAGTTTTCAAGATAACAAGTTCAGAACTAAAAATGTTCTAAAAAAACATAAATATGTTCTAAGATGACTCTAAAAAGTAGAGTCATGAAATATAAAAGCTACAGTAGGGAACCGATTATCCGGAACGATCGGTACCATAGCTATTCCGGATGACTGATTTTTCCGGTTTTCTGAGTCACTACAAAAAGCCATTTTTTTTATTGTTAAACCCAACTAAAAAAAACAAAAATATTTGGAAATAATCTTAAAAAGAAGAAAAAATTATGAAGTAATACACTAATGATTATTTCCAAAATGATGGTAAGGTAAACATCTTCAAAAAAAAAAACGAAAAATCCTGAAATCTTATCAGGAAAATAAAATTTTGTAAAAAAAAATGGCAGGAAAATTTATTGAATTTCGTTCCGGTTTTTTGGTTTTCTGATTTCCGGATAACGGGTTTTGTACTGTACTAATAAATATGTATATAATGATAGTTAACTAAAACTCTAAATACAGTAATAATTTTATTTCTAAAAGTAAGACAAAAATAATTATGCGCTAAATAGAAAATTATTGGTTTGTAATAAAATTAAGTTTTTTTATTTTCATTATTTATTTAGTTATTTTTCTGAAAAAATTAATGTTCAATCTCGAAAAATATTAGACATAACAAGGTTTTGAGAAGAAACTTTTCGACATAGGAATTCAAATTAACATTATGTGGATATATGTAATGGTAAGGTGAAAATTTTTTCTTTGACATAAGGTTTTTGAGATATAGAAGTTCGAGATATCAAGAGTTATACTGTATTAGTTTATTTATTTATGCAAATAAACTGTTAAATTGTAATTTGATTTTAAGTATATTTCTCTCATGTAGTATGTCTTATGTAGGTTTCTTGCTGATCGATTTGTGGAAGGTATTTGTCCATTGTGTGCATATGAAGATGCAAGAGGTGACCAGTGCGATAAATGTGGAAAGCTCTTGAACGCTGCCGATCTTAAAAGCCCTCAATGTAAACTCTGTAAAAAGACTCCTCATCTCCGCTCTTCAAGGCATCTTTTCTTGGATTTGCCAAAAGTGGGTTTTCTTATTTGCTTGTTTAGAAAATAAGAGAGCTTCCTTAAAGAAAGAATTTATTTCATTAGTATCTTTATTGCAAACATGATTGCTTTTCTTAATAATAATTCATTTTATTTTTAAGCCACTTTTTGAATTATTATAGATAAGATACTTTTAATTGAGGTAAATATTTTGGTAAAGGATTTTTTGTTTTATTGGGCATAAAATTCTGACTTATGGTGAAATTTCTGAATTTCTTTATTATTTCATTCCATATTGATTTATATATAAAGCTTGTTTTATGTATATAATTGATTGGATTGTCAATGTATACATATAGTAAAAACAAGCTTGAAATAAGTATGATGATAATTTAAATGTTTTCTTTTTGTGCAAAATACTTCATATGCTTTTTTATATTTTCATGATTTGAGTTGATAGTTATTTTCAAACTTTTTGTTCTTTTTCCGCTCTTATGTTATGTTTTTCATGAAAAAAAATGTAACTTTAAAGTATTGTTGACCTGGCTACTATTTATTAATTGCAGTTAAATTCTATTTTCTCATCCTTTTTTTTATACTGAGCTGTATTTTTTTTTATTATTCATTTTATCTCTTACTTAGCAGATTTTTTTTTCTAAAAGTGATAAATAACAATAAATAAAATTAAAAGAATAATAATTACAATCACAATGGTTTCTCCATAATCCAAAATGGTATTCATGCATGTTTTGAATGATGAAACATGTTTCTTACAAAATTTTCTATTAAAAATGATCATTACAAATTTACAATTCAATATTCCATAGCCAAAAATAAATCAATTGAGTATATGATAGCTGTGATTTCTGATGAAATGTGAAATCTAACTTGTTCTAATAGTCTATGTCATTAATTTAATTTCTAAAATATTTTATTAGTTCTATTGCTTTATATTAAATTCTGTTTTTCTTTTTGTGATATGCAGTTAGAAGCACCTTTAAAGAAATATTTGGATAACTCAACCCCGAATAGCCAGTGGTCTAATACGGCTAAAGTCATTGCATATTCCTGGCTTAAAGAAGGCTTAAAGCCTCGATGCATTACACGAGATTTGAAATGGGGAACCCCAGTACCCTTGGAAGGATTTACTGATAAGGTTTGTCTTTGATTTAAATTTTCCATTAAATAATCAAGCAATTTACATTTTCTTTTTTAGAATTCAATACATAAGAAGCTTTCTTAATTTTAGCGCATTATACATATTTTTAAAAGAAAATTTATTTAGACAGTAGAAACAATTTTTATCATTTTTTGTAAAGACTTCTCTGTATTTATATTGTGTAAAGATAAGTATAAACTAGTAACAAGTGTTACTGTAAAATATCTTCCCACCTAAAAGTAACTTTATTAGTATTTTTTCTTATCATGAAGAAGAAAAAATTCTTTGAATGATTTTTCCCATGATCTATAATTATTTTATTCTTCTATTTTTAGAATTCAATATATAAGAAGCTTTCTTAATTTTAACGCATTATACATATTTTTAAAAGAAAATTTGTTTAGACAGTCAAAAAAATTTTTATCTTTTTTTTTATTAGAATTTTCTGCATTTATATTATATAAAGATAAGTATAAACTAGTAAAAAAACAGATAACAATAAACTAGTAAAGAAAAAAAAACTCTTTGAATGATTTTCCCATGATCTATAATTATTTTATTGTTCTAGAAATAATATTTCTTTATTAATGTATATATACTACAATCTTAATAATTTATTGATTTTTATTTATTGTAACACATTGGATTGAAATGTTGTATAATTTTCCTAATTTCTAGTTTAAGCAATACAAAATCTTTAAAATATGCAGTTTTAAATGAATTAGGTTTGTTACACTTAATATTATATTTATGTCCTCTCCTGCGACCCATGTTTAATGGAAATATTACCAATTTAAATTCTAATCATACCTGTAAAAGAATTATTTAGCTTAAATAAGTTGTGTTAAAAAAATATCTGTACATATTTTTATGTCGTAACTTTTTTTTTTATATTGAAACTTTTAAAATGTGTTCTACTAATTTAAAAAAATCTACTACTCTCTTTTATATGGTGTTTATTAGAGCTCTAAAATTATATGGTCTAACACAGGGATGGGCAAACTACGGCCCGCGGGCCAACTGTGGCCCACCGGAAGGTTTTATCCGGCTAGCGGATAGAATTTTAACTTGCCGATCCGTGGCGAATATAAACAATATACACTATACATCCATTTTCTTGTCTACTTTGTTTAAAGCTATTTTTGTTCTTTCTTTTTTAACAAAGTACTGATGGCCCTTTTACTGATGTACTGATGGTCTCATGCCCAGAAAATCAGTGCTAAGTTTGCTTTTTATGTATGTGAGCAAGTGTTTTCAACTATGAACCTTAAAAAATATCGTTTCAAAAGTAGACTAACAGACAAACATTTAGCCTCATTCCCTAAAATAAGTACATCTCACTTTCAACCTCAATATAAGGAACTTTTAAAAATGAAATCGCAATTTTATTCATCGTATTATATATTTAAATTAAAACTTGTATATTGTTCCTGCTTTATTAAAGTTTAAAAATTTTAACTTACAAACTTTTCTTTTTCGGTTTTTGGCCCTCCACCAAAAAAGTTTGCCCATCCCTGGTCTAACGTGTCTGAAGAACATGAAAATTCCAATTGGGTATATGTTATCTACCCGTACATGCCCCACATAATCACTGAGAAATACTTTAAATACCTATTAAACACTCCTTTAAGTTTTGACATAAATTGCCTAGAAGCCAGATGGGGCAACCAGAGATCCTCTAAAAAGGGGTGGGGGGGGGTGGAGAGAAAATCAATTAAATATTTGATGCGACCCAAATGTTACTAAATTTAATTATGTGAATAAGAATTTAAATATATAAATAAATAAGAATTAAATTATGTAATAAATATATAAATAAGAATTTAGTTACATAAATAAGAGTCTGGATGTGTAAAAATTGTGAGATTTTTCAAACCCTGGTGGCTATATTATTATTTTAAAGCTATGTTTATAATTGTATGTGTAATTAAATACTGTAATGTTGTGTGGCAGTGCCTGGTGGTTACTAAAGTGATGGAGCGTTCGCCTTCCAATGAGGTGAACTGGGTTCAAATCCCAGCGATAGCTGGTCGATATGAGCACAGTACTGATGTAAAATATCCTCAGTGGTAGATGGATCATGGGTTAGAGTTCCCTTGCCGATAGGCTAACCGTGGAAGGTTTTTGTGGTTTTTTTCTCCATGTAACGCAAATGCGGTTTAGTACCATCAAAAAGTTCCAATGAAGGCAGATTTCTCCCAATACTTTATCACGAGTTCTCTTGTCTTCTGGATCGGGTTCAAAATTACATTAGTAGTCGTAAACACAAAAAATCTGTCGGCTGTTCAATGATGGTTATAAAATAAGAAAATGTTGTGTGGCACAAAATTTTAAGGGATTCTTTGTTAAAATTAGCTCTGTACTAGTGTTCATTGTGTGAGTGAAGTGAGTAAGATAATTTTTTTTTTATTTCAGGTATTTTATGTGTGGTATGATGCCCCTATTGGATATTTATCAATTACAGCCAACTACACAGATAAGTGGGAACAGTGGTGGAAACAGCCTGAAAATGTCCAACTCTATCAGTTCATGGCCAAAGATAATGTCCCATTCCATGGTATTATTTTTCCTGCATGCCAAATAGGAACTAAAGACACTTACACAATTGTCAATCATCTTGCAGCTACAGGTAAGCAACATGAAGTGTTTAGATTTAAAATTTATTCTTAGTAAAAAGTTGAAAATGAAGGCCGGGATATCCTGGTTGGTAGGGTGGGAGTTCGAATCCAGCCGGCTGAAAACCCCATGTGAAGTAAATGGTGACAGGTGCACATTAAATCTGTCTTGTCACAAAGTTCTCCATGTTTCCATAACAAATTATACCTCTGTGGGTGCTGAATTGGAGATCGATTGTTCTTAGGTTCAGGTCAAAATTACGATCTGTGGATGAATGAATGGATGTGAAGTAAGCGAAGATAGCTCCTTCGAGATTCTAATATTTTATTGAACATATTTACATATTTTATTGAACATATTTATTCTAATATTTAAAAAACATCATCACAGCAGGTGATGGGAGAAAATACTGACCTGTCATGTGCGTGCTGGTATTTATACAATTCTAAGAAGATGACATCAGAACTCTTAATTCAGTTCACTTCAAAAATAAGTAAAAACACAATTGATTAAAGACAAACAGATAACAATATGAAATAAACTTGATTTTACGATGAGCAGCGAACCCATCACCACAGATGTATGAATAGGTCCAGGTGTAACGTATGGGTCTGGCAGAAGTTTTCTTGGCTATTGATGTAGCAACTGGAATTCAAGAACAATTGCATCCCTTTACCTTAACGGCCTACGACAACAGCAACAGTTGTAAATGAAGTTTCTAATTCTCATACAATGTTTACATTTTTATTTTAAGCTTCATGCATCATGAAAAATATTATCATGAAAAAATTTGATGCAATCATGAAAAGATATGACTATTTTTTCAGGAATTTTAATTTAAAATATTTCTGTTTTATTATGTATAATGTTACTACTGGAAAATGCTTTGGGACAGGTATTAATTTAGATAAAAATTCATTGTTAGCGAAGAAGACTGCTGTAAAAGTGAAATTTTTTCCATATTTTTAAAATTTGATGCAGAAAAAATAAGACTTTGTTTCGCTTACAAATCAAAAATATTTTGTTTATTTTTTATTTGTAACTTAGAATTTTGTTAGTTTAAAAATTAAGGTAAGCAATGTAAACTGTTTAAAACAATTTATTAGTAAAGAGGACAGTTGCAAAAATTATAAAATTTTAAACCCTCAAACAATGTTCACATTGTGGGAAAATATGATTATTTTCTAACAAATCAAAAATATTTTGTTAATTTTTTGTTTGTGACTTAGAATATTGCAATTTTTTAAATACTTCGAGAATTAAAAATTTCTGTAGGATTTAATTTGCATGAAATCTAAAGCTGTTTAGACTTGAAGCCTACCCAGATGGTAATGTCCAGTAAATCCAGGTTTGTTAGAAGGGTTCTAGCTTGGCTGAAATGTAAATGTAATGTTGTACGCAACACTGACCAGATGGCCGCAGTCATGCTTTTGTTCACGAAATTATAGAGATTTGATCCCCCTGCCCCACAACAGGCTGTTAAGAGAATGCATTACTTTTTTTTTAAAATTAAAGTATCAAATTATTAGCTTTGACATTTTAATATATTTATAAGATGTAAAAGTATTGAACAAATAAATGTTTCTTAAACATATTATTTTTTTTAGAGTATCTGAATTATGAGGATGTGAAATTTTCCAAAAGTAGGGGTGTTGGTGTTTTCGGTGACGACGCAAAAGAAACTGGTCTACCTTCTGATGTATGGAGATTTTACTTGCTGTACATAAGGCCAGAAGCACAAGTAAGCTAACTGTGCATAGATGGTTATCACATAATAAAAAAATGCAAATTTAATTAAAGAAAATGTTAGTTTTCCTCAAAAAATATCAATTTATAAAAAATTTTAATCATGAATTCTAATGTCTGCACGTTTGAATTAATATTTTATTTTTTGAAGATAAAATCGTAATAATTTTCATGTCTATATTCTTTCTGTGATACGGAGTTCCACATTATTTTCTTAGTTTTTATTTTATCTGACACATTCATACTTAAAATTACAGTAATAATGCTTTATTTATTTAAGTATTTTTCATTTAACCGCTTCTCTGATTATCCCGAGTTAGCTCAGGTATGTATACATTGCAAATATTTATTTAACCCGAGTAAACGGGGGCATAGCAGAATTCGTCAATAAGTTTTTTTTTTATGAAATTAATTACGTTTACGTTTTATGAAATTTTTATTTGGCCGGAAACAAAACAAAAAATAATAATAATCTGCTGTGATTGGAAGCTTGCAAATTTTTATTTGGTTTGAATTTTGCTATTTGTGGAACTGCAGACATGTTTTGTACAATTGTATAAACAATGGTTGATGAATTTAAATAGAAGAAGGCAGGNTGTGGACCACGACTAACTCGGATAACTGAAAAACTCGGTTAAAACGAAGAGTATAAAAAAAGAAAGAAAAAGAGTTGGTATAAATGTAATATATTTAAGAAAGATAAAATTTATACGAGTATATCACATACAATTCCTATTATTATTAAAAAGGTTACTTGAAAAAACTTGAAATAGAGTCCCGATTATCCGAGTTAATGTGGACCACGACTAACTCGGATAACTGAAAAACTCGGTTAAAACGAAGAGTATAAAAAAAGAAAGAAAAAGAGTTGGTATAAATGTAATATATTTAAGAAAGATAAAATTTATACGAGTATATCACATACCATTCCTATTATTATTAAAAAGGTTACTTGAAAAAACTTAAAAAGTATACTTTGCGAGAATTAAAGAGTTTTTTCTTAAAAAAAGTCCTTAATCGTTTTTTGTTTTACATAACTTTGGTGCTTTTCTGCATCAATGTTTCGCCATTTTTTAGGGATAACAGGAAAGCTGGTGTCGCCTCTTTTTGTTGTTCTATGTATTCAGTAGCATTTTCGACAGCTTTAAGTTCATCTGTGTGAGAGATTTTTATATGTTGATTTTCATCGTCACTATCTTCATCGTCTTCGCTAGGTTCATTTTCATTATTGACGATATTAACGATCATTTCATGGGATCAAGTTGTTAGATTTCGTTTTCCCGAGTGTTTGGAAGATAAAATCCAGATTTATTTTTCGGCGGTATTTTTAAAAATAAAAAAATAGACTAGAACAAAAAAATCCTTAAAATATTTGATAGCTTGGTTGATGCGGAAACTCGGATAACCGGGGCTCGGATTATTGGGACTCTACTGTATTTATTAACCCGAGTAAACTCGGCCATAGCAGAATTCGTCAATACGTTTTGTTTTATCACAATTTTATTTGGCCGGAAACAAAACAAAAAATAATAATAATCTGCTGTGATTGGAAGTTTGCCAATTTTTATTTGGTTTGAGTTTTGCTATTTGTGGAACTGCAAACATGTTTTGTACAATTGTATAAACAATGGTTGATGAATTTACATAGAAGAAGGAGTAAAAAAATGGCATTCGCGAGGGAAAGTAATGCAGAAGATTTTTCAGATTATGAAGATGTGAACATGGCTAATATTTAACTTTTTTCATTTGCCCGAGATAATTTGGGATAGTAAACTCATGGTAAATTAAATATTTTTTACACACAAAAAAAAAAAATAATTAAATTTTAACTTAGAATTTCTGTACTATATTTTGTTATAGCTATTAATGAAATAAAAAAATATGTTGATTGTTTGTATTTTCTTTTCAAAAAAAATTGGTAGGAGAAGCTGTTAAGTAATATTTATACTGCTGCGTGTCCAACAGAACTTTTTTACTGTTTGTTTGTTTCATCCATTTACCCAGTTTTGTACAACTTTTTTTAATTTGACAGCATTACAAAATTAAGTATTTAGCCTTATCTAACAGAATTATTATTTTTTAAATGCTAATTCATAACATGTTCACATGCAGAAAAATTTCTTCTTTTGGGATTTGACAGCTGTAATAGTCTTCCTGCTGGTTATTTCTAAAAAACAAGGTTGAGCTTTTATTAAACCTGACATTCCTTTTATTACATCACCTAGAAGTACCCTATTTATTATTAATGTAAGAAGTGAAATAAACAAGGACAAATAGAATAAAAACTAGGAGAACACATTTAAAAAAAAAAGAAAATTTGTTTAACATGTGTAAAATCAGCCTTAAGTTGAGTTTTAACTTAATGCTTTCACATGGCAGCTTTCAGCCACCAATTCCTTTTGAGTGTCAACAAAAATGGCCGCAACATTTATGTGTTTATATTAAATGTGTATTTATACTAAATGTGTATTTATACTAAATACGTGTTGATATCAAATTGTTTATATTAAATTTTATGTGTTTATACTAAATTAAAATTTTTAATTATGAAATTTTTTTTTCAGGATACTTATTTTAGTTGGAATGATTTAATGTTGAAAATAAATTCTGAGCTTCTAAATAATCTTGGCAACTTCATCAATCGGTAATTAAACATTTTTGATTGTTTTTGTGGCTTTCGTTTTTAGTTTCTCTAATACTTATTTTTGAAAGCGTATACAACATTCTATTTTAAGTCAGGATATCATTATTTTTGCTTTAATGAAAAAGTAGATTCACTAGCTAAATGAGCTTTCTGCATTTGCCACATTACCACACTCCTTTCCCCATAAGAAATTGTAAGGAACTAATCAAGACAAAATTTAAAACCTCAGAAATTATACCAATATAACTGCTGGAAAATGTTGGTAGTGTCTTATACAAAATGAAAACAGAACTCCTCTAATTTATCCAAGATAAGCGTTGCCTGCTTTCAAATGTCAACAGGGAGTCATGGTAGCTCAGAGGATATAGTATTTTGCCTCCCAATGAGGTGACCCAGGTTTGAATCCCTGCAGTGGCTGGTTGATACAAATTCTTCTCGGTCATACCAACCATAGTGCTGATGTTAAATATCCTCAGTGATGCATGGAATTGTGGGTTGGAATCCCGTTGCCATCTGGCTAACCATGGTTAGAAGATTTTTGTTTTTCTCTTCCTATCCATGTAATACAAATGTGCGTTAATTCCTATGTCCTTCCGAAAGGCTAGTTTATTCAATTGCTTGATTTAAGAGCTTTCTTGTGCGGTGTTGGGTTCAAAATTACAGGACTATGAAAATGTACTCAAAAAATTATTATCTTCTATTTTAATTATGTTATAGCTTTTTGTGAAAAGCTTATCTAATTTAAATTTTTTATCGTAGACATTTTTTTTTTGTTAAAAAAAAATAAATGCTTATTTTTTTCTTTTACCTATTTATAATTTAATAATTTATTGTAATTTTTTTTATGTATCTCGTACTAAAGCTTTGAAGACAGTGTATTTTTATAACATGTAAATATATTTTGTGCTCACCAGAATATTTAGAATTAAAATGCTAACCTACAAGGACTGTTATTACTCTGTAAGTGGTGTGCAGAGTTGGGGGGGGGGGCAGAAGGAACTACTGTCCAAACATTCAACATTAAAACTTTCTTACTAAATTACATTTTCTTTTACATTTGATTAAAGGAAAATAATTTATGAAAAATAAAATATAATCTCCGAAAAAAGAATTAGTAATGAAATTAAAATAATTTAAATGGAAATCTTTTAATCTATGAAAAAATTTTAATATTTTGTTAGAAATGCATTTTTACCTTCCAAAATTTCTATACGCATAAAAATCAATTATTAAAAATTTGTTTAACTATGTCCCTTCTTGGGATGGTGTTACTCATTTAAAACATCGAATCAAGAAGTTTGCCCCATACCTGTGGCAGAATTTTTTCAAGCTATCTGCTGCAAAACTCTCTAGTACTAATATCTTCCTGCAAGATACTTTTAATAATAACAATATATATGTTACTAATTTAAAATAACAAAAGCGCTATGTAACAAAACAAAAAAAACTATATAATTTTTTTTTGATTGAACATGTAATGATTGAACAAATTTTTTTTTATTGAACACGCCCACATTATCTCTTTTGCATTTTGTAAATAATCATCACAATAAAAAAAGAGTTAAAAATCATGAAATCAGTAGTAATTGCTCAAAATCATGTGAATCAGACTCCTCAAATGCATGTTCCGTTTCTAGATTAGGTTGTTATAAAAAAGATCAGATTTAAAATTCATCCAGAAATCAATAGCAATAACTGTCAAACATTTGACTGCCTTAAAAAGTAAATACTCAAATGCACAATTCGATTTTTCCATATTGTTTGAAATGTATCGGGATGTTTAAAATCCATATGAAAATCAATATCAATAACTGCTAAAAATCAATCGAGGCATTACTTTGATGGACGATACCATCGGCGTAAATTGAGTGCATCGAAAAGTGATTATCTAAATGCATGATTCAAATACAGTATGGAACCGATTATCCGGAACGATCGAGACCATCGCTATTCTGGATAACTNATGAATAAAGATAAATAATTTCTATTCTTAATACTTCTCAATGCTGATTTTTTTAAAAATGTTATTAATGTTTTTCAAATTTTGAATTCTTATTTTGCTTTTAATTTTTGTTTCGATACAACTAATTCAATATTGTTTTAGATTTTGAAACGCATCCCCAAAATAATACATATGTAGATAATTTTGTTGAGTAGCAAAAGAGTAATAAGAATGCACAGTCAAAAATTTTAATATGTTAATTCAATGTCTTAAATGCTAAAATAAATAATATCTTGAGTGGAAAAACATATTAACGTAAAGTTTAAGTACAAGATGAAAATTATGAAAAATGTTTTATACAAAATAATAAGATGAGCTAATTAAACAAAAATGTGATTGTGGTTTTTTAAATGAACTATGTCTACCAATAAAATCATATTCATTTTTTTCCATTCTTTATCTGACATTTTCAAATTTATTCTGCAGAAATTTTCATTTCTTCTTGTTTCAAAATCATTTCCAGTTAAATTTTTAAATTCATTTCAGCATAATAATTTTTAAAAGGTTTCTTTGGTCTTATTCAACCTCTTTAAATTTTATGCTTAATTATCTTATGCTTATGCTTAATTATCTTATGCTTATGCTTAATTATCTTATGCTATATTATTTTATGCTTAATTATTAAATCAATTTTCGCTGGGTTGATTTAACTTTTAATCTAAGTATGCTATATAGAAATATTTGTTTAGTGTCAGTTAAAAATCTCCTATTGACCTTGTTAAACCCATTACTTAAAATTGTTAATTGTTAAGTTTTTGTGTGTTTGTGCAAGTGTGTTTTATTATCTGCTTTTAATTTTAGAATGCGAGATGCTATAAAATATTTACTCAATATCAGTCGACTTGGAAATTTTTACATCCAATCAAACAAGCCGTGGGAATTGGTGAAAAAATCTCCTGCTGAAAAGTAAGTTCTAAGTTATTGTGACGAATTTTCTAAATCTGAAACTAAATTTTATTGAAGCAAATTGTGTAATGTGTTTAAATTTTTTTTATATACATCATTAAAAACAAAATCTTGATTTTTATATACACCTGTGAATTGTTACGAATTTGCCTTTAAATTATCAGGTGTTTGAGATTTCTGTTCTAATAATCTTCATATTACAATAAATATAAATCAGTATATATTGTTTGATGTTTTGAAGTATTTTTTCATATATTTTTTACTACCTGTATTACCAACAGGATCTGTATATGTTGAAAGCAGGTCCTTAAGGTATTTAAACTTATTTTTGCACAAGTGTCGATCTTCTAGATTTGGAATACATAAAAAAAATTATTTATGATCTGATAAAATTAATTCTATTTATTGTAAATATTTGGCTGTTGAAAAAAGGTTCTCAATATATAAAAACTTACTTTTGTATACGAGAAAATCTTCTACATTTGAAGTATAATAAAAGTATTTATAATCCAATGCAATTGATTCTGCTTACTGTAAATATTTTTCTGTTGAAAAAAGGTTCTCAATATATAAGAACTTACTTTAGCACAACGAGACAGTCTTCTACATTTGAAGTACAAGAAAAGTATTTATGTAAAAGTAATTCAAAAGTAATTCAATGTTATTAATTCTGTTTCTTTGTAATTTCTCAAAATTGAAGTATTATGATTTTTTTTAACATTAATTTCAAACTTAGATAAAAATTTTACCTTTAAACCTAAATTTTACTTAAAAAATTTTACCTAAAAATTTACCACATTCTCTTAGTATACTTGTTTTAATATAGGGGAGAGTCGGGTAGCCCCGCCCACTTAAGGAGTATTGCTTATATTTCTGTATAATATTGAGTAATAATCAATATTTTTGTATTTTTCTATTGTTTTATCATCTAATTAAATAATGCAAAAAGAATAAACCAAAAAAAGAATAGTTTAACTTAAAAAAATAGAAATTAAAAAAAAATATGTTTACAGCTCTTTTCAAAATGTGTCGGGTAGCCCCGCCCAGTTACAAAAATTATGTTTTTCGACTGTTTTTTCACCTTGTTTATCATTTTTATCACAAAATTATTTTATTTATTACATATTTATATACTTTTAGTGAATTCTATCATTTAATAACAATAATTTAATAACAACAATATTTGTTGTTAAAAATGCATATAACATTCAAATTTGAAGCAATAAAATAATAATCTTTGCAACCGTACATTTATCGACGAAATAAAATTGGGCGGTGATACCCGACATTCATGTGAGCGGGGCTACCCGAAATCCAATTTTTTTGTAAATTTGTAATTACTCGAACAATTTTTCACATATAAACTTCTTTCTTTGTGCAAATTAAACTTAAGACTACATACTTTAATGCTGTATGTATAGAAAAAATTATTTTTTTAGCATTAAAATGAAGTTTAATCGAAACATTCAACCAATTTTTCTTAATTTCATGACTACTGTATTCAACATATTTTCGAAACTATTGTTTACCATGTTAACAGCTTCATAAATACTTGAAACTTTGAAAATAAAGTTTTTTTAATATAACATTTAATGTCCAATGGCCCATTGACTTGAAAAAATATTCTATACATATGAAATTGACAGTGGGCGGTGGCACCCGCTGGGCAGGGCTACCCGACTCTCCCCTACTTATTTTAATACATTATATTTAAATTTAGAGAAGAAAACCTGTGTCCTTGCACATTTTGTCTTGTTTGTTTGCAAGATTATTAAGTTTTTTTTAAAAAATTAATTAAGTAAATTGAAATAAAACTGAATGTGTAATGTTTACAATCATAATGAAGAAAGCTATTTCGTGACAAAAACATGAAACTGAAGAGAGAAAAAAAGAAATCATCTCTTTACATCAATTGCTAGGACTGAGAGGCTGGTGAAAATTATTTAACGGTGGTCTAAGTCAAATTTTAGTATACCAGACCAATGTTAATTTAGAGTCCAAGCTAAATATTAATTATTTAAATATTTTTAATTTTTTTCCTCCCACAGGGCTTTAGCTGGCACTGTTCTTGGCTTAAGTGCAAATATTTGCTGTTTGCTTTGTACATTGATGGAACCTTACATGCCTGACACATGTGCTAATTTAAAGTCTCAGTTAAACACATTGATGACTTTGTTTGTCTATTACCGTCGGGACACAAAATAGGAAAAGTAAGATGTTTTCTTTAATGATATTAATTGCTTTGTTTATTTATTTTGTTTTATTTACCATTTTTATCTTTATTTGTGTTATAATTTGACAAGTTTTATTTATATTTTATTTTTGACATGGCAAATAGTATTTTTTAAACTTCTTTGACAAATTATCAACAAAAAAAAATCTTAAATATTTCCTTAATTTTTTTTTTTATTTAAGCTTTAATTACACAGTACAACATGATAAAGGGTTTTTCGTTGAAAATATGTGATCATTGTATATTTTTAGCTGAAAATAAGGAATTTGTAATTATTTTTTTCTCTGTTATGTACTATTTTCCTAAACCACACAATAACAACTTACGGGCAAAATAGATTCTCATTTACAGTTGGACCTTCATTAACTTAGCAGACTATTTTTTATTTTAATATTTGAATTGAGTACCTTTTCTTTATTTCTTTTTTTACAGAATCACATAGTTTCATTTGAAATACAGAAAAATGGTTCAAATTTGTAGTACAGTTGTGTATCTACCACCACAAAAATACAATTCCTAATCCCTAGTATACAAGACATGTTAACTCGATTCTATGGTGGGGTACCTTTTCATAGATGAAGGTTGACATGGTCGATATCTACTCAATCTCCACATTAGTGACCTTCTGATGTGATGTGAACAGGACTACTTTGATGGATGGTCCACATTGAACAGTTGACTTGCTACTTGTGATCACGACATTGTCCTCCTCACGCTGTTGCTTCTCCGTCTTCGACTGCTAAAGACATCACAGGAGCGGCCATGAAATTAATACAGCTCTAAAAAAGTACGGTGATCTTAATACAGCTCTCCCGGCTTCTCACAAAACAGCAATGAATCAACTAGTGGTATCCATTCATCGAATTCTATAACAGATATAATTCTGGTGGGGGAGTACTATAGTGTATCTACCACTACAAAAATATTATTCCAAATGACTAGTATATTAGACATGTTAATTAAGACTATGGTGGCTATGACTATAACATGTTGATTATGGTGGGGTACCGTTTCACAGATAAAGGTTGACATTGTCGATATCTGCTCTCCCCACTGCAGTATTAATTGACCAATCAAAATGAGAAATTGTAAACAAATAAAATCTTTTTATTAATTGACAACTTCCCACTTTGATTTGGCAAAAATATAACTTTTATTTGTCAAGTATATTATATGATACAAATGCCGTAGAAAATTTACTAACCGCAAAAATTCTATAAACCGTAATTCTCCGTAAACCACATTAAATGTACAAGTCTCTTAAGAAGTAATTAACTTCTCTAAGTCTTTATACTTAAACGTACAAAGTCTTTAAAAGGCACTAAAATTGATAAATTTGTTGGATTTAATTGCTAATGTTCTTGACAATTTCAATCTTTTTCTGAAAATAGTAAATACTTAAGTACTTATTTTTGTGTTTTAAATACTATTTATTTAAAAATTGTTTTAAGGCATTAATATTGATCTGTTCCAAATATATATTGCCTTGTTTAGCTTGTAATTTTATGATATGTGAAATTATTTATTTTGCCAAAAATGGTTTAGCATCATTCATCATGTTTCATGGTTTGCGTTATGAAGATCTTCTGTATTGTTGAAAGATTTATTTTATATTTTCTATTTATTTCTATCTTTCACCATTGCTTAGACCTGAAATTGGCACTTTTATTTATGCAACGATAAAAATACCTGTAGCTTTTGCAATTTTTTTTATTTATTGTTAACTTCTTCATTTTTTTTGCAGCCTTCGCCTTTGTTTAAAAAAATAGAGCAAGATGTCATCAATGAACTCAAATCAAAATATGCTGGAAGGCAATCTCAAGAAAATGTAAGTTCTTCCACTTCTTCTTTATCTCTAAAGTTTATTTTAAGACTATTGCTTTTAATATTTATTGTTTTGTTTGACAAGGGTTATAGTTAAATAATTTGTTAACCATATATTTTGTTTACGGTTTAAAATTGGATTAGGAACATCATTACTCGAAAGTATTAAATTGTTAAAATGTTTTTTAATTTTGTATCCGTTTATAGATTAAAGTAATTTTCATTACTTGTTTTATTTTATAGAACTTAGTTTTTATTTAAGTTTGCTTTGATTTGAAAACTAATTGAGCGAAAAAATTCTTATTTAGTATTGTTTGATTTTTTTCACTTTCCTGCCTGGGTATTTTTATTCATTTTTCTAATTCTTGCATTAGAATTTGAAATGGTAAATGATTTTTAAAAACTTATACTATTGAAACTGGAAAATATCATTCATAAGCTTTTTTAAGCTTTCATTTATAAACTTTCTATATATTCAATAGTACTTTCAATAGCTTTTAGTCCATCTGTATGAGAGATTTTTATATGCTGATTTTCATATGCCTTACTAGATTCATTATTGACAATATTAATGATCATTTCATCGGTAATCTTGTGTTGTCTGTCAGCTTGTTTTCCTGATTGTTTGGAAGAATTTTTTTGGCGGTAGTTTCAAAAATAAAAGAATAAACTAGAACGAAAAAGGGAAAAAATCCTTGAAATATTTGATAGCTCAGTCAAAGGGGAAACTTGGATAATCAAAGCTCGGGTAATCGGGACTCTACTGCAATACTTTGCTAAAAGTTGGATAAAATAAGTATCAATAAAAAATGAATTGTATGTATGCTAACTCTTTCTTAAAGAATTTAAAAATGATTTATGAGCTTAATTTTGCCAATTTATAAGAAATAATCATGTTCCCATAAAAACTATAATCAAATAATACATTTTCACTAAGTTTTCGTGTCTATTTATTATGAAGAATACTACTAGTAAGTTGCAAAAATATTTTTTAAGCACTTTGGAACGAAGATCACACATTCCAGAGAATTCTTCGTAACTTTTTTTGGATCCCCTCCAAGACTTTTTGCATGTTTAGCATGTAAAAGTATGTTTATGTATTCAAAAGAGGGATTGAATTTCATTAATTTGTATTGATTGAAATACAAACTAGCCACGAACTATCTCCTTACTAATGAAAAGAGGAAGTTTCATTAATTTTTAACGCAGGTTAAAGATATATAATGTGTCCACCTTATACTTCATGGCAAACATCTTAAGTAGTAGTGAAACATCTTCCACATGCTAAACAACCATTCCGTTTCTACTACACCACATAAGTGGTGATAAACAGAACTATGAAACGTTTTTGTTCCTTCTTCATGTTGGTCCTGCAGTGGACTGATCGTTACGACATGGTTCTCAGTAGAACACCGAAGGCATGCATCACTGGCTGCGGACAGTAAATGGGTGGGTAATAACTTTGATCAGTCTGCCAAGGGCCCGAGGTTGCGCGGTATTGATCCTCGTTAATCTGTTCTACTGTAAAGTGCTCGACTTCGCGCGCAGGTCGTTGGGCTACTAAAGCGGGGGAGCCATCCCATCTGCAGAGGATCAGAATTGCGATGGCATGTCTTGGGATTATCCTTGGGGATGTTTCCCAGACCGTTGCCAATAGCCCATTGTTCAGCTCTAGTGCGACATAAATAAAGTATTGTCAATAAAGTATTTACCTACCTTCTTCATGTCGATTGAATTAAATTAATATTTCACAAAATACATGTTAAATTTTTATTCCATGAAATACAAATTATTTAAATTGAGATTTTTGAATAATGCTGTTTACTGTTTGTTTTTTTAGAATCATAATGTTAATCAGCAAAAAATTTCTTTTAAATAATTTGAATTTTTAACTGCAACCTTCTCATCCATATAGGTTAAAAATTAGAAAATCAGTATTTATTATTTAACCTTAAACACTACATGCAAATATATAATTAAAATGCCTCTTCATAAACGTTATTTGTGAGGTTCATAGACTGGTTCATGGTTAAAAACCACTCTGACTCGACCATCCACCTCGTGCTATTTCGCATGATTAATAGTAAGTATTATTTTTATTAGGTGTTGAGATGGTGAACAAATCTTTTAGTTAAATACCATACTTTTTTTTATTTTTATTTCCAATGCAGCAGGCGATGCGGACATTATCCTAACGCCGTACAGAGATCAAAATAAAACAAAATACAAATACAGAAGGAGATGAAATATACAAAATACAAAAACGAAAGCAAAACATCAAACACAAAAATTAATTCAAGAACTTAAATTGAACAAAAGTTCTCTGGCCACCCAGTATCGGGAGTAGATGCAGTTCTTTGTGAGAACTGAACAGTTTAGAAGATGTAGGGGGCAGGCAGGATTATCCACTATTTTAAGACGGAAAAGATGGTCATATAAGCAGTCGTGCTTGGTAGCAAGACGAAAGGCAGCTACAGCACTGCTTCTTGGGCAATCAGGGAGATTAAAGATGTCATTTCCCCACGATTTTTCTTTTGTTCATTCCTTTAGCAATGATATATGTGTTGTCTTAATTGCATGATTAATCATTAATGAAGTGGACTTATAGCTAACCAACTTATTTGGGGCTTGATTAACAAAGCAACCTTTTTTGGCCAGTGCATCAGCTTTTTCGTTGCCAGGGATACCACAGTGGGATGGGATCCATTGTAAGGCAATCGTTTTATGTTTTTCACCTATCTCTGTCATTAAAGATCTACATTTCACAATGGACAAAGAGCTAGGGGCTTGAGAGTAGTTGGAAATGGCCAGAATCGCAGCTTGGGAATCCGAGAAGATGACAGCTTGATCGTAAAGAGAAGGACGAGCATTTAAATTAGTTAAAGCTACTTTGATTGCCTCAACCTCACCATCAAAGGCAGTCTTGGCTGTTCCCAATGAAAGATAGTGGGAGAAATGCTCACAAAAAATACCAGCACCGGCAACGCCATCCATCTCAAGCTTTGAGCCATCTGTGTATACGTGCAACCATGCTTCAAGAGGAAAACGATTGTGGATGGTCTCCGCGCTGAACAAAGCTGCTGCACAATCCTGGGCTTTTAAGACAGGACTCATAAGGTCCAGGTGACATAATATTTTGCTAGCTTCCGTAGGATTTTAAGGGGGGAAGCAAAGGTTCAATCCGGGGAGGTATATAAATACCATACTAAGAAGTTAAAAAAAAAAAAAAAATTCCTTGTTAAAAAAAATGGAATTTTTTTTTTTTTTTTTTTGTAAAAAAAAATTCCTTGTTAAAAAATTCTAATTCAATAAGGTTTCAATTTTTAAAAAAATGATTTCTTGTTTATCATGCTAACAAAGCTGATTACATTCTAATTATTGTTTGTAGGAGACTGTGCCACCTTTAAAAGAAACAAAAGCTACTGTTCCAGCATCAAATATGACAAATGGTGTGGATCTGCAAGCTTTAGAAGCTTCAGTGACTGAACAAGTGAGAAAACATTTTGTTTGTTTCAACAAGTTTTTTTCTTCTTTATAATTCCTTGATTGCTTATTTCAGATTGATTTTTTTTTATCGTTATAGTTTATTTATATGTTATACTTTCATTTAATGAACTATTTTCTTCTTTTTTTAAAAAAATGCTTTGTTCAACATAGAAGTGATCGGAAGTGTTAGAAGCCCTAATTTCTTCTTTATAAATTCTTTTATACACCAAATAAGTTAAAGCCAAAAAATTAGTAAACATGTCCTAGTAATTATTAGAATATGCAATATTAACCCACTTACGGTTCTGCATGTAAAAGTCTTATTTAAACCCGTAGTCTTCTCCACATAGAAAAACCAGTATTTCCTAGATACGGAAATAGTGTCAAAGGGAGAAACATTCTCTCAATTTTTCCCTTTTGCTAAAGCGTCAGTGGGTTAAGTTAATTAGTGAAAGTTTAATTAACAGAAGTTTTAAATTTGTGATGAAAATTTTTTTATGTTTCATATGTATTGAAAATAGAATTAAGATGTATTGAAAATAATGTTTCATATGTATTGAAAATAACGTCGATGCAAGCGATATTGATAACTACAAAGGATAACATTAAGCATTTTTATTTTATGACCATGGTTGATCAGCCAACCTAATTTTGTACAACTACAAATGCTCAACTCCGTAGCATTGTAATTTTGAACCCTATGCAAAAGACAACGGTATTCCTGGATCAAATATGGGGAGAAATTCGGCTTTGTGCATTACCTTTTGATGGAGCTAACCTGCATCTGCGTTACATGGAGAGGAAGACCAGCGGAACCTCCCTCGGTTAGCCTGATGGCAAAGGGACTTTATCCCATGATCTGTCTACCATTGAGGATCATTTTTGTCAGCATTGTGGTCGGTGCGAACTGGGTGCAGAATATTCGTATCGACCTGCCCTGGCTGAGAATCGAACTCAGTTCACCTCATTGCTTTGCATCATATTTATTTTATAACCGTCGTTGAACAGCCGACCCAATTTTGCATTGTTTTATTTATTAAAATTTCAACAAATTTTATTTCAATAATATTTTTCCTTGGCAGGGTGAAAAAGTGCGATCCCTGAAGGTTGCAAAAGCAGACAAGGCTTCCATAGACAAGGAAGTTGCTTTACTACTGCAGCTGAAAAGAGAAGTAATGATTGCTAAGGGTGAAAATCCAGATCAACAACCAGCTAAGTCTAAAAATAAGAAAAAAAGATGATTATGAAAAAAATGTAGCATCTTAATTTATGGACATTAAATCTTAATTTATTGTAAAATGGTTTGTTTTTTAATTATTCTTCAGTTTATCTTCAATTACTTATGTTGATTACTTTACAGATACAAATTGAAATTTTAAGGGAAACTTTTTTTTTTCCTGATTATTTAAATATAGAAAGTCAAGTTTATTGTGAGAGCAATTTTTCGTGTTGAATTTTTCGTGTAATTTTTTTTTTCCATTTTAAAATGCAAATCATCCTCTTTAATTTTTATTTTCCATCATTCTAATCATTTTTTTTATATCACTCTAATTATTCTTTTTAATGTAGAATTATTAAGAGTACTAACAAATACTAATTCAATGTTCCCACGGTCCTTAAAAACTGCTTAATTTTTTTTTTGGAAAATAAAAATTTATATTATGGATGATAAAAAGTTATCATGGAATTTATATTATTTCGTAAAATCTACTGGATTTTTTTTTTCCTTATCAATGTTGGCAGCTATGAGCATACAAACATTGACCGGTCATGATATGTCTAACGTTAATATTTAATTAATTTAGTCTACGAGGCCTGTCTAAAAAGTATCCGACCTTAATTTTTCCTGCGCAAAGTAGTGACTCTAAGGCGGCGCCTTAGTGCACAGTGGAAGGAGGAACCTTAATGCACATGACTGAATTTTTTCACCGTGTTCGCTTGTGCAACTCGCTGGCTGGTGGTCGCCAAGTAAGGTGCTGTTCGTAGTGTTCGTCGGATTTAGTTTTCTCGCAAGATGACTGAACGAATTGAGCAAAGATACTGCATGAAATTCTGTCAAAAGCTTGGTGATTCTCAAAGCCAAACAATTCGTAAGATTCAGCAGGTGTTTGGAGAAGAAGCGATGGGTGTAACACAAATTAAGGAGTGGTTCAACCGATTCAAAGATGGCCGCACATCAGCGGAGAGTGAGCAACGTTGTGGCAGGCCTCAAACTGCTCAGAGT